CCCGGACACCGACCCGCCTCCTGCTCCTCCCCTACCGGCGTCCCCAAACCGCGCCGCTGGAGGGGCCGCGCGGGGCGGGGCTCACGGGCTCCGGGCCTCTTTCTGCTGCAAATGCGAAGCTTTAGGTAGCAGTTCTTCTGGGGACGTAGGGATCCCTGGCACCCCTGGGGCTCAGACCTGGGCTATCCTAGCTAAAAGCTCCGGGTGGGAGAGATAGGGCGGGAATAGGTTGGTGGGAAATGACAGGGTGTGTACACTAGGGGGAAGTCGGTTGGCAGCTTTGAGGCACCTGGTGGCTTGTGAAGGCTTTCACACCTGGGAGGACTCTTGGCTGGCACACTAGTAAGAGTTAAGAGTAGGCTTGGGAGCCTGACCCCTGTATTCAGATTCCAGCCTACCACCAGCCAACTAAGTTCCTCTGTCTGTAAAATGGGATAACACCTGTCAGGTAGGCAAGTGAGATCAGGTGAAATATACGTAAAACCCAGAATTTGACGTATAAATTCCAAGCTGCACTTGGGATTGAACAATATTATTCACACACACGCTCATGTCTGCGCACAGCTTTGGACTCTTCACTGTTCTCTAGGTATGCTCTGCAGGTCGCTAGACTGTCCCTCGTGGCAGCCTTTGCTCCTTAAGGGAAGTTAAGAGTACTAGCTTTACAGGCACATGGATGTGTTCAAATCTAGCCTCCACTGTTTCCTAGGCTGGACCTTGGGTGAACTACTTAGGCTCTCCTTGCCTCAGTTTCCTCAGTATAAAACGAGACTAACATCTCCTCAGTAGACCTTTTGTGAGTTGTAGATGAGATAATGCGGGTAAACCACCAGCCTCAGCACTGGGTAGTACTTTCAGTTACCTTACCCATCCTCCAAGGCCTCGCCCCAGAGCTACATGCTCTGAATTTCCACTGATTGGAATTAATCTCTCCCATCTGCTCTCCCACAGTGCCATCTGCCAACATCACAACCCTTGGCCCACTCTATCTTATATTTTACAGTATCTGAGGATTGGTCTAATTTGTCCATCGCAAATTCTTCAGGGCAAGAAACCTTTTTGGTTCACTTTTGTTCCGGCACAGTACTTAGTCACCAGGTTCTGAACTGTAGCTTTTACTAACCCTCAGTGTTCTTAGGCCGAGGGGTGGGGAGGGAATGCCTAACTGAGGGTTGGCTTCGTGTGAGAAGCTGAGCAAGACTTTTTTTTTTTTTTTTTTATAAAGGCTCCATCCTCCACCTGGTTTTCTCTTCTCTTTCCTGGGGCTAATGTGGTAGGAAGACAGGAAGAGCTTTGGATTTGCTCAGCGGGGGCCAGAGGAGCAGAAACAGAGTTCCTAAAGTTGCTTCTGTTTTAAGCCTTGCAGGATGGGTAGCTAGTGATCAAGAAGATGAAGAGAGATGCTCACCCAGCAAGATTTGGGATAGGAGCCGAGTCTACAGCACTTAGTCCCTGAGCAGAGGACTCTGGATCTTGGCTTAGTAAATAAGCCACATTCAGATTCTCGCTGAGGACCTACTAACTGCTGTACCTGTGCTGAAGGCTGTGAGGGGTATGGAATGGGAGCACTATTGTTTAGCAAGTTTATGGTGTATTCAGGAGAATAGATATATATTTGTGATAATTTAGAAATGGGAAAAAGGATGTACTAAAATGCCAGTATTTTGACACGGTTTATAGAGGAAGTGTTATAAACCAAGTAAGAGCAGAAGCGGTCCCTTCTTGTAGTGGTACCTTCCAGAATCTTGTACACAGTTAATTAATGCTAAAAAAATGTCCTTTTCTCCCATCAAATTGAGGAGGTTACACTTGAGATTTGTTTTGGGGAATCTGAATAGACTAGGAACAAGAAGAGCATTCAAACTTCCCTCCTAACATTAGGAAATGGGCTGACCTCTCACATTCCTAAAATATGGGTTTATGGTATCTGTCACATTGCTCCCTTCAAAAGCACTTGCCTCTGTCATTTATGGACTAGTGGAAAGGACAGCACATAAAGATGGCAGTAAAATATTAAAAACAGAAGACTATAATTAATCCTATGTACCTTTCATCTTAATTATAACAAAAGTCCCATTTCTACACATGTAGATAGAGTGGAGTGAGACTAGAAGGAAAATTTTCTATTTAGATTTATTTCTAAAATCCCTCCACTGAGGAATACCCAAGTGAAATGTACAAACCACTGTCTTGTAAAAGCTTCAAAAAGTCATTTGTATTTATAAAATACTTATACTGGTGCCATTCAATGGATGATCTAAAACTGGTAGTCATCCTTTGTTATCTGCAGGGTGTTCTAGGGCCCACCTCAGATGTGAAAACCTGCAGATGCTTAAATTCCTTATATAAAATGGAGTAGTATTTGCACATAATCTGTGTACATTCTCCCAAATACATTAAATCATCTCAAGGTTACTTATGATACCCAGTACAATGTCAGCACTATATAAATAGTTATTATACCTTATTGTTTAGGGACTAATGACAAGAAAAAGTATGTGAAGTTCATATGGACACAATTTCTTTCAGGTATTTTCAGTCCACACTTGGTTGAATCCACAAATGCAGATATGGAAGGCTGACTATAATAAAATTGAGAGTGTTTAGAAATTTTTGAAGCAATTTGACATCATTGCAAGATTCAATGTATGATCCATGGATTTGTTTTTCATACTTTTATTTTCTAGAAATGAATTTCTATTCATTTTATCAATGTCCTGTCCTATAATAAACTGGAAATTAAAGAGATAAGTTGGTTCGTCTCCATAATTAGTTTCAGAAGCAGTGCCTTAAATGGCATTGTTGTGAGGCTGGCAGCTTCTAAGATGATTTCAGTGATTTCCTTTCCTTAGATGTGAGCTGGCCTGGGTGACTTGCTTGTAACAAATAAAATATTGCAAAATGATGAGCTATCATTTCCACAATTAGGTTAGAAAAAGGCAGAGTAGATTCTGTCTTGTTTACCCTCTGCTCTGTACTCTCACTCATTCCCCTTGGAGGCCTGGCTCTGAAAGGATGTTGCTGTGTAGTGAGTAGCTTACATAGAGGCTCACAAGGCAAGGCCCTGGTGTCTCTGGCCAATAGCCACTGTGCAGCTGGGGCTGCCAACAGCCTCTTGAGTAAGCTGGGTCTCACTGGAGACTTGAGACATGAGGCTTCATCACAGCTTCATGGAAGACCCTGCAACAAAGGTTGTTCCTGTATTGCTCATGAATTTCTTTTCTTTTTTTTTGGTACCAGGGATCAAACTCTGGACCTTGTGCTTGTGAAGCAAGTGGCAGAACCTCTGAGCTAAATCCCCGGCCCTTGCACATGAATTTTTGACACAGAGATGAATCCAAGATAACAAATGTTGTTTCAAGTCATTACATTTTGGGGTAATCTGTTACAGTTATAGATATCTAATACACTGTGTGACAGAGGTGGTCAATCAAATGGAAAGAAAAACTAAAAACTATGCTGTACACTTAATGATAAGTTCAATGTGTAACTTGTAACTATGAAGTAACATTACACCAGTATATTCTGCTCCCTAAATGTAATTATCTGGCTGACTCATCTCAACGTAGAAATCATAACTTGGCATGAAAGATAGCCACCACTATGATGTAACCACCTCTAGCTGATATGAAAGGAGCACGCCATGTTCATTTTTTGTTACCATCCAATAGGAAATTTTTACCCCTTCTTTTTATATGTTCACCCAACACATGTATAGAATTTCCACACTAAGCATTCAATTCTCTAGAGGCACCAGCTGGGCATTCTACAATTTAATTCATTTCTGACACTATCCACCTAGAGTTAGTATCACAGTCCACAGGTTAATACTCAGTCCAACAAGATCGGATGTCACTTTTTAAAAAAAAATCTTATTGAATTTATTGGTACTTTTTAAGTATACAGTACAGTTACATTCATCATTGGGATCTTGTACCCCACGTGACAGATCTTTGTTCTCATTTATTCCCCATATCTCTGCCCTCCCTTCACCCACTCCACCCTTCCCT